TTTAGAAGACAAGGACTTCGAACAAGTGACATTCAAGACATTCTTCCTGGTGGCTTTGGCTACCGCTGCTCGTATATCTGAACTGCATGCGTTTGATGTCAGTCGGGTGCGGTTCGAGTGGAAGAAGCATGGCAAGGCTTTCCTGGGTCTCCGCTGGGACTTCATTGTGAAAAACTAACTGCCAGGACAACCGACTGGATGTTTACCATTCCCCCGTTGTCCACCATTCTTGGGCCTGATGATAATGAAGATTTGACACTCTGCCCTGTTAGGGCTCTACACGTTTACCTTGCTGCCTCCAAGGATCGGCAACGGCAACGGAAGCGCCTCTTCATACCCTTGTTGAACGCTTCAAGAACTGAGGTTTCCCGGACCACATTGGCCTTCTGGATGCGTGCCACGATCCTGCCAGCCTACACCTTTGCAGGGTTGCCTCCTCCAGCCGCTTCCAATCCTCATGAGACTCGTGCACTAGCCTCGACGATGGCCCTCCATAGCAACTGCTCCTTGACCGCTATCATGGAAGGTTACTTCTGGCGTTCTGATACAGTCTTCTCTTCACATTACCTGCGAGTATATCGACCTGTCTGTCACGGATGTCCAGGGACTACACCAGTTCGGACCTCTTGTACTGTCACAGCAGCTGACATCGGCCCAACAATGCAGATGAGGGACGGTTCGAATTCGCGTTACTACTTCCTTGTATATACTGAATAAAAATTGAACTGGATCTCAACCTTTTGTTCTCATTATATGGGTTTAAGAACTACTTCACTTAGCCTCCATACCAAGGCAACGGAATATGGCCACATAGCGTGGACCTACGGACCTGAGGCACAATCAGTATGACGATGCAGAGGTGTTCGACATTCACGCTTACTGACCTCTACTCTACTCCACGGAGCAATTACGTCAGTGAAGTTCTGCCTCCAAAGTTGCCGGGCACATCCTTTGACTAAGCTTAGGGGTTCCGGAGAACCCACTACAAGCATAGGAGTTGCGTGCATGCGTAACAGGCCTCACTTGTACATCGCTATCTACGGTTGTCATCAGTCCACACAGCTCCAAGACCAGCTGTTCGCACTGTCCAGACAGAAGGGTAATCTGCGGCCCGCCGTCCAACCGTGGGATAAGTGCAAGTCGTGAGATAGGATAAGTTTAAAAATTTGGAAATTTTAATATAAATTGTATATATTTATATACTTATCCTGTCTCATGCGATGGTTGCCCGCCCGGCCTTCCCACTACTCAGATACAACGTTGGCTCCAAGATGAGAATGATCATTCAAGGTAGTCACGTGGGCAATTAGTGGAGCATGCTGCAAGCTTTATTAGGAACTAGGAAGCTAATTAAGGAGAGCAGCATGGAGTGCACGGGCGAATGGACAAGGAGGCCTATGGAAAAAAGTTTACAGTCGTTCCACTAAAAGTCGAAGCAAGAGAGAGAGGTGCAAGTCGTGAGATAGGATAAGTATATATACAATTTATATTAAAATTTCCAAATTTAGACATAGACAGTGAACGTAAAATTGTGAAAACATATTATTTTATCTGTATTATTTATCTTTTAGTACCCATTCAAAACTAAACAGTACAAGAAATTTATAACTGATAATTAAGACAAGCATCCTTTTTGTTAATGAGCTGCGCCTTTTGGACAGGCTTCAGTAATGTAAAAATAGCGAAAGTGCTCTAGCTGATATTTAGTTCTTGAGAGTTACCTGCCCTTGATTTTAAAATTGGAAGCATGGTACCTACCATTCTGATAGGGAGTTGCTCGTGTCATTTTACTTGGATGGCATGGGTGATATCCTTGATTGTTTTACGTACACATCTGTTTAAACTCTCATTGGGTAGGGGAGGCTGAAGAGGACCGTGCAATCCTTTCCATTGAAACAGTCTACAGCTTCATCCTAAGGTTAACTGGACTGACTGACTGACTGAGTATGGTTTTACGCCGTTTTAAGCAATATTCCAGCGATATCACGGCGGGGGACACCAGAAATGGGCTTCACAAATTGTACCCATGTGGGGAATCGAACCCGGGCCTTCGGCGTGACGAGCGAACGCTTTAACCACTAGGCTACCCGGCCGCCCCTAAGGTTAACTGGAATGTCATTGTACCAGATCAGTCTTGACTTTTGTTTCGCCATCAAGTTTTTGTAGATGAGTCCAAGATGCTGGTAGGTACCATGAAGTTCCGTTAAGGGTTGAAGATTTTCATCAAAGACGTAATGTTTAGGAAGCATTCATAAAATAACCAGGCTCCTCAGGATGAGATTGTACAGGAAATCGTAAGCAACAGATCGGCTATATCAGGAACTCATCACAGTTTCAGATTCAGGAGAACCATTGTCCGAATGAACGTTTAACACCATGTGGTAATTATATGTGCCTCCATCACTCTAGTGCCACTATGTTTTGGACATTAATCCAATGGTTTATCGCAATTGTGTCCATCCTGAACAAGCTGTTCAGCTATGCCAATCATTCGTTCATTATCCAGCGATGCGGAGGCGGTCTGTAAATAATCGAGTCTAGACCCGACAATCCCGTGATCAACATCACGAGCATCGATATACACAATTAGGATATGATGACAGTGATCAACATCACGAGCATCGATCTACACAATAAGGATATGATGACATGTGTCAACTGAGTCAGCAAGCCTGACACCCGATCCCGTTTGTCGCCTCTTAAAGGCCACATGCAACCAAAAAATCAAACATAATTAAAACACAATTATCACTTATTCATGACATATAATATACATTGCTGGTTATGAAAAAACATATAAACAAAATTATAAGCGTACAATCGCAAATCAAAAGTGCAATATTGTGTACTTGGGTTTACTTCCCAAGAAACGAAGCAGCCGGGATACCGAACCCAGTCAGAGATGGTGGGTGTGCACTCAAGTGTAACGGCTGGTTCATTAGCAGATGCCCTCACGGCTCATTGTGTGTGTATATATAGAGATGTTGGGTTTTGTAAATACATGCTCATTTTTTGTGTATAACACTTTGCAATCAACAAACATCATAACATGTCATGTGTTCAAGTATCACACCTGCCTGTCTGTGTAATTACATAATGTGACAGAGACCGAACTCGGGCCATAAATCAATGCATTTTGTTTATGGTGTATAGCCTGATTGGTGTTAAGTTCAAATTGCATATGGTCAGTGATAGCAGGCAGACACACAGGTGTCAAAACAAGACACTGAGTTTTGTCTGTGACAACGACATATCTATATCACAGTTAGAAATTCTGTCAACGCTAAATAATGACATTGCTTTTAAGTATCGAACTGAGAAAGTGACTCGGTAAGAAGAACATGTGGTGAAATAGACAAATGAAATTATATAAACAGTTAATTTACTGTCATAACATAAAAAGCTCGCGCCTGTGAGATATCAACAAAAAATTAGAAAAATAGCTCACACCAAAGCCTTCATCGAGTATTCACCGGACAACCCGCTTCCAAGCTGCGCGAACCTATTTCACTGCGCACGTGCTATGAGCGCAGCCCAGCTGTTGAAACCAGTTTTCCCCCGAAAAGTCGGGGGAAAGTTAGTGAAACGTTTGAACTCCGATTTCGCGCGTTTTATTATTTTTCAACTTTATAAGTTGAATTTGCATTTTTGACGATTTGTTTCGGTAAGTCCATACTGAAAGGTATCAGAATCTGCAAAGTTGTGTTTTACGTTGCATGTGACCTTTAAGACAAGCAAGGGTTGCTGAAGACCAATTTTAACCCGGATCTTCACGGGTCCTTGCATTAGGAACATGCAAATACTTACATTCAACGTAACACATGCATGTAACCTTCGTGACATGCACACTGTTAGTATGATAGATACATTTCTGGACACGATAAAGCAAGTGTAAATAAACAGTATCCATTTACGGGTAAATATGTAGACATGAAAAAGACAGCAAAGTACAAGTATTTGTATTTTAAACTGACATGGCGTCGGTCATGTTTACCGGAGATCTGTAATATTAACAATAGGGATCTGGACAATAATAGCATTAGCTACAGTCTCTTAAGTCTCTAGTACCGCCTCTGTGGTGTAGTGGTTAGAGCGTCCGCCCGAGAGCGGAAGGTCGCGGGTTCGATCCCCGACCGCGTCATACCAAAAGACGTTAAAATATGGTACTTGTTGGTCCCTGCCTGGCGCTCGGCATTAATGGGTACAACAAGGACTGGTCGGCTCGGAGTCAGTATAATGTGTCTGAGTGGGGTATTCATGCTTCACTGCGGCATGGTATCTCAGTGGGCTAGCACTATCAAACCAGCTTAAGTCTGGGCTAGTACAAGTAGCCGCACATACACATACACACATGCATCGTCGTCATATGAGCGAAATATTCTCAAGCACGACGTAAAACCCAATTTCACCTCACCTCTTGAGTCTCTAAGATGAGATAGAGACAGAAAGGAAGATGACCCGCCCAAATTCCTTTCATCCATGTTGTCAACGATATCCACCTCTCTTTTCTTTGGTTACCTTTGACATTCGGACATGGAAGTTTTCAATGCCCATCAGTATGCTTACCTCGCCAAGGCCTACTAAATACAATCACTTATTCCAGATTATTTGTCATCCTAAAGCACGGTACCCTGTTCGAAGGGTCTTCATTGTGAGGCTGATGTCAAAAGGACAATAGACCCTTGTATGGACAGTACATGCCAAATTCGGGTATTACTTTGTCTGACAGTGCAGCAAATCTTATATTAATTAATCTTGGGATGATGTATGTACAGGTAAAGACATGGGTTTCTAAAACATGTAATAATTACCATGCGATCTTATGGCACGTATAAGGACAAGACCATTTATCTCGGTCAGTACACAGATCTTGTTAGAATCTCCAAACCAGATACAGCAGTGAGGCGCCATTTTGAAACATGTATAATCAGGGCTATTCGTCATTATGTTCAAGAACACACCCACTTTAATACACAGCTGGGTTTAAACCTGGATTGTTGGAACAACAGCATGACCTGTCTGTAACATACAGATAGCGATTCACAGATAAGATTGGAACGCACAGACAGCTAGACAATGGCGGCCCAAAAGAAATGGATGATTGTCGCCTTCTTCTGCATCATTTTCCAAATATCACATCAGATGCTTGACCAGGTGAGTTTTAAAGAAATGGTCATGCGTTAATGAAGAATATGAAAACTGATATATCATCAACTTGTTTAGATGTTATACAAACCAGGTTATCTTGACCCAGTTACGTAGAACACGCAGTTGTAAGAGGCGACTAACGGGATTGGGTGGTCAGGTTCGCTGACTCGGTTGACTCATGTCATCGTATCCCAATTACGTAGATGGATACTCATACTGTTTGATCACTGGATTGTCTGGTCCAGACTCGAGACCGCCACCATATAGCTGGGATAGAGAGTAAACGGAGTTACCTATGTCGTATCTGACGAGCGTTTAGCCAACCGATGGCATGGCGAAACGGGAACGGTTATTATACAGGCCAAAGTCAATGATCTGGTGAGACCTCAGGTTCAGATTGAACTGGATCAACAAGGTCATTTCCGTTACTGGTACGTTTATCGCCTAACGTTGACATATCTTCCCCGACCTTGTCTGTGGTGTCGGTACTGCAGGCCGTGCTCACCCTATTCAGGACACCTGATATCATCTCTGATTTTCAGTGATCATGTCCTTGTGCCGCCATTTTGCCATTTACCTTCAATGGAATCTGTCTCAGTACGTTGTATGGTCTAACGTTGTATGGTCAATGTGGTGGTGTGTGGTCTTGTGCATATTGTGCAGGTCACAAATCAGGTGAAGTCAAGCTCCGTTGGTCACGGAGAGTCCTTAGATGGCTTAGCTGTCCTGCCCAAAAACGAAGCACACCCGTGGTCTCACTTTAGGCAAATGAGTTTGTTCAACATTGCCTCTGTTCACCCAGCAGAAAATGGGAACCCGGTGGGATAGGTCATATGACTATTGACCTTCTAGAGCCTCACAGGCAGCTTGGGTTATCTGGGGTAATAATGTTCATCACGCTTAGCCCCAGCAGAAAATGGCTAACCGGTGGGATAGGTCATGTGGCTATTAACCTTCTAGAGCCTCACAGGCAGCTTGGGTTATCTGGGGTAATAATGTTCATCACGCTTAGCCCCTGCAGAAAATGGCTAACCGGTGGGATAGGTCATGTGGCTATTAACCTTCTAGAGCCTCACAAGCAGCTTGGGTTACCTGGGAAACTAATGTTCATCACGCTTAGCCCCAGCAGAAAATGGGTATCCGGTGGAATAGGCCATGTGGCTATTTACCTTCTAGAGCCTCACAGGCAGCTTGGGTTATCTGGGGTAATAATGTTCATCACGCTTAGCCCCAGCAGAATATGGGTATCCGGCTGGATAGGTCATATGACTATTAACCTTCTAGAGCCTCACAAGCAGATTGGGTTATCTGGGAAACTAATGTTCATCACGCTTAGCCCCAGCAGAAAATGGGTACCCGGTGGGATAGGTCATATGACTATTAAACCTTCTAGAGCCTCACAGGCAGCTTGGGTTATCTGGGAAACTAATGTTCATCACGCTTAGCCCCAGCAGAAAATGGGTACCCGGTGGGATAGGTCATATGACTATTAACCTTCTAGAGCCTCACAGGCAGCTTGGGTTATTTGGGAAACTAATGTTCATCACGCTTAGCCCCAGCAGAAAATGGGTACCCGGTGGGATAGGTCATATGACTATTAAATCTTCTAGAGCCTCACAAGCAGCTTGGGTTATCTGGGAAACTAATGTTCATCACGCTTAGCCCCAGCAGAAAATGGGTACCCGGTGGGATAGGTAATGTGACTATTAAACCTTCTAGAGCCTCACAAGCAGCTTGGGTTATCTGGGAAACTAATGTTCATCACGCTTAGCCCCAGCAGAAAATGGGTAACCGGTGGGATAGGTCACATAACTATTAAACCTTCTAGAGCCTCACAGGCAGCTTGGGTTATCTGGGAAAAGAATGTTCATCACGCTTAGCCCCAGCAGAAAATGGGTACCCGGTGGGATAGGTCATATGACTATTAACCTTCTAGAGCCTCACAGGCAGCTTGGGTTATCTGGGAAACTAATGTTCATCACGCTTAGCCCCAGCAGAAAATGGGTACCCGGTGGGATAGGTCATATGACTATTAAACCTTCTAGAGCCTCACAAGCAGATTGGGTTATCTGGGAAACTAATGTTCATCACGCTTAGCCCCTGCAGAAAATGGGTACCCAGTGGGATAGGTCATATGACTATTAACCTTCTAGAGCCTCACAGGCAGCTTGGGTTATCTGGGAAACTAATGTTCATCACGCTTAGCCCCAGCAGAAAATGGGTACCCGGTGGAATAGGTCATATGACTATTAAACCTTCTAGAGCCTCACAGGCAGCTTGGGTTATCTGGGAAACTAATGTTCATCACGCTTAGCCCCAGCAGAAAATGGGTACCCGGTGGGATAGGTCATATGACTATTAAACCTTCTAGAGCCTTACAAGTAGCTTGGGTTATCTGGGAAACTAATGTTCATCACGCTTAGCCCCAGCAGAAAATGGGTACCCGGTGGGATAGGTCATATGACTATTAAACCTTCTAGAGCCTCACAAGCAGATTGGGTTATCTGGGAAACTAATGTTCATCACGCTTAGCCCCTGCAGAAAATGGGTACCCAGTGGGATAGGTCATATGACTATTAACCTTCTAGAGCCTCACAGGCAGCTTGGGTTATCTGGGAAACTAATGTTCATCACGCTTAGCCCCAGCAGAAAATGGGTACCCGGTGGAATAGGTCATATGACTATTAAACCTTCTAGAGCCTCACAAGCAGCTTGGGTTATCTGGGAAACTAATGTTCATCACGCTTAGCCCCTGCAGAAAATGGGTACCCAGTGGGATAGGTCATATGACTATTAACCTTCTAGAGCCTCACAGGCAGCTTGGGTTATCTGGGAAACTAATGTTCATCACGCTTAGCCCCAGCAGAAAATGGGTACCCGGTGGAATAGGTCATATGACTATTAAACCTTCTAGAGCCTCACAGGCAGCTTGGGTTATCTGGGAAAAAAATGTTCATCACGCTTAGCCCCAGCAGAAAATGGGTACCCGGTGGGATAGGTCATATGACTATTAAACCTTCTAGAGCCTCACAAGCAGCTTCGGTTATCTGTTATGCATGCCATGCCAACACCCGGTGTCATCACTGATTTTTGGTGACCTACTCAGTGTACTCTTATCCTCAAAGGAATCTGTTTAGGTGTACGGTCGAAACTGGTTATTTTGTCCTGTCCGCGTTTTATATATATATAGGTATATGTAAGTATTTTAGTCAGGAGTACATAAACACCGAAACCCGTGAAGATCCGGGTTAGAATTGATCTTCAGTAACCCATGCTTGTCGTAAGAGGCGACTAACGGGATCGGGTGGTCAGGCTCGCTGACATGGTTGACACATATCATCGGTTCCCAATTGCGTAGATCGATGCTCATGCTGTTGATCACTGGATTGTCTGGTCCAGACTCGATTATTTACAGACCGCCGCCATATAGCTGGAATATTGCTGAGTGCGGCGTAAACCTTAACTCACTCACTCACTCACATAACGCCGAAGCAATAATATTCCACCTATACGACGGATTCCGTATGATTAATTAAGACCAAGAATTATGAGCAATAACATTCTCCATCGATGCATGACAAAATATGAAACAGGCTGCATATTATTAAAATCCGTTTAGTATCAGGCACTCAAAGCATTGGTTCCTTGGATTTCTTCAGGTGAACATCGGGGACCAAAACGACTGAGCTATCTGTGTTAACTTGATGTTATAAAAAGATAATGATTTGGAGATTTAACGTTCGCTTTCCGACAAGATCCTAGCCGGGCCATTCAGTGAAGGTTCGTAAAATATTGAGATAGGGATTTGACCGAAAGAAGGAGCAGACACAGAGAGAGTAGGCGTTATTTTTGCAGATTTAGAATTTAAAGACTTTTTACATTTGAATTTTGCCATAGATGGAGGGGGTAGAAAATGGTTTGGTCGGATAAGTTTTGAGCTCCTGTGGGTTTTCAGATTATTAGTGACTGTTTTAGTTGGATTATATATCGCCGAGAAGACCCGTTGTAATTAATACCATGAGTAAAGCTCTCGAGGTTTGTGTGTTGTTTAATCGATTCAGGTGTGTGGATGTGTAATGTGCTCTGAAGCATAATTCTGTGGTGATTGTCGTCCACTAGGGCGTGCCTGTGGACCATGGATCCAAGGCTTCAGATAACACGAAGCAATCAAACAACAGCCCTAACAAGCTTTTGTCTTCTTACAGCCAACCATCGACATGAACTGTGACCCATCAATAAGTAAACGCATGGACGACTGCCCTGCTGGCTACTGCTGCGTCCGTGACGAGTTCCTCCCAACCTACGTCTACTGCAAGAAGATGGGGGTCCACAACGAGGACTGTACCACGAAGCTGACCGAGTCCGCCTGTCCGTGCGTCTCTGGCCTGCGCTGTCGTCCTAACATTGAGAGTGCCACCTTCCACTCACTGTATGGGAGATGTCACCCCAACACAACTGTACATCCCAGTATAACTGGGTGAGAACATGGCTGGAGAATTAACTGAACAGAATACGTCAGTATTCCATAACCACTATAATGATGTGCATTTGAAGTATTTGAAATCTAGTACAAGTAAACTATTTTATCAAATAAAATTTTCTGAAACGTATGTGTTGTGCTGTTAACTGTTCCAGTTAAATCAGTTAAATTAATGAAATACTTTAAAATATGTACTATAAACGCCACAAGAAACGTACCCTCTTTCCTTTATGACGGAGGTACCAATCTTCAGCTAATCACTGTTATTGGGTTTTTTCGGCATGGATGAAAATAGGACAATTTAACCCTTCTGAAAAAGATGCATTTCACCTAAATATGAATGCATTTGAGAATTGTTTTCGTGATTTGCATAAAGCTGTGTTGTTAAGCTTTCTTGTAAACTAATACCTTCTAACATATTTTTTATAGTTTTCAAGTAATTCATAAAGGTAGGAGGGTAACGTTTCTTTTGGCGTGTAGTGTACATGTTCATGTTCATGTTCAGGCTTTAAGTTTATGTGTAAACATCAATGTAAGTGCTGTTACATTACCTGGTCCAAATGGTCCCCAATCAGTAACCGTTACAACAAAAATAAGCCAAATGGGGATTCGAACCCGGGTTCTGGGCGTGACAAACCACAAGGCTACATCGCCGCCCCGATCGGACAAGGCAATTACACCTGTATTGATCGGGAGGTGTGACTTCGAGATGAGACGTCGACTGATGTGATGCTAATGATATGAATCACTGGTTTGTCTGGTCCAGACCTTATACAACCGCCTGGTACAGTTAAAATATTTCTGTATATTAGCAATAAATACAACCTATCTGTTTAAAGGGAAAGGGTGATCCAGTGGTCTCAGACACAAGTCTTCGTGGCACTGGATGTGATGGCCGAAGTTTCAAACCTCTCTATTGTCCTTTGTTTGTTGGTACCATAATCGTTGTCACACAGCATCTAATAAATTTGAGGGGCGTTGGGGTAGCCTTGTGGTTAAAGCGTTCGTTCGTCACGTCGAAGACCCGGGTTCAATTCCCCACATGGGTACAATGTGTGAAGCCTATTTCTGGTGTCCCCCGCCATGATATTGCTGGAATATTGCTAAAAGCGGCGTTCATACTCACCCACTCACTCTGATTATTTTGAGTACAGGGGCCCCTTACAGGGTCAAATTTATTTTTAGAATAGTAGCAGTCTATATTTAGTCTATGACCTCATGAAATGCTCTTGACTCTACTGGTTCTGTTGGTTGTTTACCTCGAAGAAAGAAATTTGAGGCGACTAGTATTAAAGAAAACAGAAAGGATTTAATCGACATCTTAGAGGGGGACTACGCTAGTTCGAATTTAGAAGACCTTTACCATACACCTGACAGGTGCAAGGTATACAGTTTAAGAAATCGAATGGTTTTAAAAAATAGGTCTTAATTTTGTCTTTTCGTTTGTATGTTTTGTTTTATGTTCACTTGTCTAGCTAGAGATATCTGCAAATTGAAATTGAAATACAAACGGTCTTCTGTGAATAAATGGCATATTTATGTGATAGGTGTTATTTATTTGTTGTCAATGTTTTCAGGATTTACTGTTGAACAATCGAATTTGTCCCGAAATATGTGATGAAGAAGAAGTCCGTACCAAGGGTCTGAAGATGACCGGAATGAAAGCAAATATGCATTTGAATGTGAAGGAGCAAGATCATGATCAATCGAAACACAGTACTGCTTACGCTATTAAAGGTGAATCAGTACTGACGATTTGCCAAGAACATCCACCTCACAACCGCGAACATTGTTTTTGACGTAACTGAGGTTTATTTTAATGCAATAGTCCGCAAATTTCCCAGTGCTATTTTTAGATCAGGTGCATAGCAACGGGAAGAGAATGACATCATGGAATATTGATAGGTCAACTGGTTTATTCCGGTTTTTGAATGAAAATATATAAACCTCTTGATTTCGGATATTTCATCACTTCATCCCTGATTACACAGATCACATCAAGCAATACATATCTATCGGTCTCCCTCTGTTGGTTGTTTATCTTGAAGATAGAATATGGAAGCAGTTCAAGTTACGACCTCGTGGTAGCTATACAGCGTGTAGAAGACGTGGTCGACAAACTGGTACAGTTTAAAGTCCTTACTATCTTCATGAAGGCTGTAATTATCGAAAAACCACAAACTTCCTTTGACCGTGTCAGAAAACTGTTGTCCATCTTACCTAGACGTGGACCCCAAGCTTACACCCTCCTCTGTGAAGCTTTGGTGGAATGTGGAGAGACAGAAGCCATGAAGTTGCTGTGTCTTGAGACTCCTACTGACAAGACAAGAGTTACAGGATCCTCGTTGTCATCGGGACTTGGGAGCTGATGTGTGCGAACACCAAGACCTGTGTATGGACAATACCCTCCTCTAATGAAACCTCAAACAAGGTTCCAAGAACGGTTGAATTCCTTTCAGTCTCGGCCTGTGCAGATGAAACAGAGTCCTAGTCAAATGACCCAGGCAGGATTTGTGTACTTAATCAGAGGGGACGCTTGCAAGTGTTTTCAATGTGGTCTCGTGCTCAAAAACTGGGAAGTAGATGATGATCCCTGATTCATTTCAGTCTTGGTCTGTGCAGATGAAACAGAGTCCTAGTCAAATGGCCCAGGCAGGATTTGTGTACTTAATCAGAGGGGACGCTTGCAAGTGTTTTCAATGTGGTCTCGTTCTCAAGGACTGGGAAGTAGATGATGATCCCTGGGTCGAACATGAAAAGTGGTCTCCAGACTGTCCACATTTGGCCCTGGTGGGAGTATCTCAGGAAGAGGTGGCAAGCTGGTGTTGTCATGTGAATTTATATTTGTAACCATGAGTGTTATGTCCATTGTAAATTACTGTATATTTGTGAAACTGTTATTGGTAATAAATTAATATTAGAGTATATCTGCATTGGTTGTCTATGTATAGTCTTTTGTCGATGTTTAAATAGAGGTTTACTCAAATACTAATCTCATTGAGATCACAACCACGACAGGAACAAGAGCTTGTTTTCTAGAATTATGGCTAGGTACCTGTTGAATCATTACGACTTTCTCAGGTTCATGTTAATGTTTCAAGACGTTGAGGAGATTTGACAAGACATCTTAGAAATGAACAGAGAACAGACTCTTGCCGTCAATGGTATTATCAATAGGTTATTAAAGGGAAGGTTACCAGTGACTCGATATGAAAGACGTCGTGTCCTGAGGCAAAATGATAGAAATAACTATCTAGCGGACTACAGATGGTATTTGGAAGACTCTTTTCGCCAGTTACATTCCTATCGTAGCATTTGTTTTGAAACCACAGTTTGTCAATGCACTTAGAGATGAGGCCATTCAAAATGCTTGGGCCTAGATTTTCGAAGCTCTCATATCGCTAAGATAGTCGTAAGTTAATGTTAATGTATGACACATACGACTATCTTAGCGCTAAGAGAGCTTTGAAAATCTAGGCCCTGGTTGTTAGATAGAGCATTAACTTAGTACATTTTGGTACAAATACACCCGTCTTGGGGAAGAGCATGTATCCAAAACATATTGTTAGTGATGTTGGACCCAAGAAGCTATACCAAGCCATGAAAGCTGAAGGTCAGTTAAGACCATGGATATCTATATAAAAGGCCACGAGGGCAATCTAGCTTCATTTAGCCGTGTGACAGTGACCCTTCACCTTAAGCTGCTCCCGTTTCTGTTTTCACCATGAATAATCCGCAATACAAGCTTTACGTGCCCGATGCCGACACGATTTTACATGCTCAGGGCTGAAGGGAAAGGAGATCCTTATCATTCTATAATGCATGGAGGAGAAATATCTGCCATGATGTCTGTGGATCGATATTTTGGAACTGCATGACCCAGAGTGAAAGAAAGACAAACGAAAGAATCCACAGAACAGCCTAAGATGAAATTCGTTACTCCAACTCAACAAGTGGTCAAACAGGCCAAGGCGCTTATTCAGATGCAGAAGAAAGGGGGATCTAAGTCTGATAAAATGATTTCATCCTCCCAGAGTCACACGAAGAAATGGAAGACGACTGTTTAGATAAAAGGAAATAGTAGACAGGTTCACTGCCATTTAGACTCGGACGTACTTACAATGTAGTGAAGCAGCTTCTAGAAAGGATGAACATTAAACCTTATCCTGAACGTATTATATATGGATCTACAAACGATGGCAGCCACTGTATAACGCCATTCAAACCTGTTTATCCCCACGCTGAATTTCATCAAGGCATTCCTTCTGATCTAAAAAAAGATGAGTTTCTGAGCCTCAATTTTGTGAACGTCGTTCTTGACGACTTAATGTCGACAGCGAGCGAAAATAATAACTATTTCATGGAGCCGTTTCAAAGGGCCACCCGGAAACCTTACGGATACTTGTTGGTTGATCTAAAACCCCAAACACCTACCCATTTGTGACTTTGTCCCAATGCATTCAGTTTAAAAGGAGACCTCCAAGCTAGAACAATTCAATCCGAGTTAGACTTTCAGCGTGAGCAGACGTGTGAAGAAAACCTAATAACAATGTCATCTTGTGATGACTGTGGACTCACGTTCCAAGACGTGCACGATCTGCAAAAACACTGAAGGAACTGGTGTCCCGAAAAGTCTTCAGTGGGTCCACCTGGGATACCCCAAGTGGGGCTTAAAGGGAAGTGGGAGCAAGACAACTTCTCTGTTGTAAAGACACCACGTACTCTGGTGGACTGTGACTGTGACTATTGTGGACAAGTGTTTAGCAATAACCATAACTACAAACACATTTACATGAAATGGAAAATGATGATGATGATGATGATGATGATGATGATCGATTCATTAAGCGATGTCACAGACAACATGAACAAGAGGGAAAATAAGATAGCCGGATGGCGTCTCGTACCCCTCTCGTGGCCATGTTTACGACTGGGCCCTGTCTAAGCGCAAACGGGCATGTAGATGAAAATAGTCTAGTACTATTACAAAGGAAAGATAACATTGCTCATACAAGATCCTACATCCCATGGGCAAAACAGCAGTACAGTAATTCCCTTTGTAAATATATTTCAGTGTTTAAAGTTTCTGATCCTTTAGCTCAAAGTTTAAGTTTAAATTGTGCTTTGCATAGTTTAGCGAAGTTTCAAAGTTCAACGGTGCCGCCATTTTCCTGCTTCGAAATGCGGTTTACTACGCACGATTTGATTGGTTTGCCACGATTCTTGGCAAAAATGGCGTACGATAGGGGTACGAGTCTTCTTGTAGGTCACGGAAAGAGGCGAGTAGTTATGAATGACACGTGTCTTGCAAGAGCGCCCAAAACTCTTTGTTTGAGAGTGGAGTATAAACTGACAGGTTGTGATTGGGTCTGAGCAGTGTTGATGTATTTCAGCTACTGCGACTAATTTCATAGTTTATATAACACATATGTGGTGGATTTGTGCGAAAACATTTGGGATTGTTTACACACGGGCATAAAGGATTGCTTAACGAGTACAGGGGAATGCACAGGTAGGTTGTTTGTTATGTACACAAAAAAACACAACAGGTATGTCTCAAATGTATTTTATCATGATGTGTTCCAACTTCAAATTTATGGTGAACAACTATTAATTGTAAATGAAATAAGAAATAAAGTAAATATTTTGAATCCATATGCCTTTCAGGTAAGAGTTACTCCCGTTTTGAAAGACAAAATGGCTGAAGCTTACATGGAATTGTAAAGTATTTCAAATCTCTTTTCTATGTATGTTAAATATTGATATATTTATGAAGTTGTGAAAGTGATTTCACTTCATTACAAAAAATGTAATACTTTTTTCTGACTATCATTTATTAATATACCTTAACATAATACTAAGGATAAATAAAAAAGTCAATCCATTTTTTAGTGTAATTGTGCTCTGATGTTATGGTACTAAAATCATTTTCTTTTCTTTAGGATAATTTCAGGCAAGATATGTTTGGGGAATTCTCCCCCAATGAGAATGGACTCCCTGCCTCACCCCCATAATCGGACATTTCCCAGAGGGATACAGAGTACGTTTGCCATAAATCAGATTTGTTGTTTTCTAATCTTCAATATATGATTTAAAAACACTTTTTGCAAGTATTCAAGATAATATAACTGTCTTGCTGTAATGTAATGTTGTAAAACACAATTTCTGATAAACAATATATATTTCTGTTTATTTTCATTTGTGCTTATCTGTGTTTGCAAAACACGCTTTTGAATATTTCATGTTCTTATTAGATGTACAGTGACTTCGATGAGAACCTTCTCTGTGAGTAAGTTATTATTTTGAAAAAACTGTATTGATACTAATGTATGTAAAATCTTAAGTATTAACTTTAAATAAAAAAAATAAAAGTATTTTTGGTGTTATTATATGTTATGACCTTCAACCATTTCGTGTTAATTTGTAAGTATTGTCATGTTCTCATTTCAGTGATGACGATTGTGTCATCACAGGGGATGGTATATTGGTGACATAAGGGACTGTTAATAATTTATGGCTAGGGGTGGGTGGGGGTGGGGGTGATGATGATTTTAAGAGGGGTGGTGTGTGTCACCCATTTTGTTCTTGGGAGATGTGTGTGTGTGTGTGTGTGTGTGTGTGTGTGTGTGTGTGTGTGTGTGTGTGTGTGTGTGTGTGTGGAGGTGGGGGCAGAGTCATCAATTTTGTACACATGTTCTAGGGGGGTCATCAATTTTGTACATAAAAATATTTTTATGCTAAAAAATTAAGGGAAGGGGGAGTCATTGATTTTGTTAAGACATGCGGGCTGGGTGGGGTGTGTGTGCGTGTGTGCGTGTGTGCGTGCGTGCGTGTCATTCACATTGTACATGTTTGTCCATAAAAATCATCATTATACCAACCCACCAACACACACACCCCTAGCCAGAAATTATGAAGGTAAGTTGCTTCAAATCCCCATTCTGATGTTTGTAAGGCTGATGAAGATATCCAAAGGTAAATCTGGTGAATCACACACTATAATCCAAGAGGGTTGTTTGTGAGAAATACCACACACACACTGGGCTGATTTCGGATTATTTATTTTTTTACAGACTGGGGTGTGGGGTGGTGGGGGTGTGGGATTTTGGTGAATAATTGAAACTTAAATAACGGTAACAACAAATCTTTTGTGTCTTTTGGTCAGATTTCTGGCATAACTGTTAATTTTCCTATCAAACCCCGCTCTCAAGTGAAGATTGTCTCGCGGGAGGCGAAGTCAGTGTATGCTTTTGTTGATGTCAACTGTTATTGACTAGAACTGTACTTGGAGGTTTATCGAGATAAATAGTTGTGATTTCCACCAGTAATGTTGCCAACATACATAGTGTTGACACCGCCAGAAACGTTTATAATTTGAGACCACTGACTGTACGATTTGTGGCAATTTGGACGCTACGAGGCGAAAAATGCTCCACTTCCGGTTATCTAATTTGTATATGTATGACCTCATTGGCATGACATACACGAATGTGTAACCTTATATCACGGATAAATGCTTTAGTGGAATGATAAATACAGTTATCAACGGTCATCCGTTTTCTGATATTTATGTCAGGAATGTTTTGCTTGTTCACCAATCCAGATTTCGTTTATGAAATGGATATATGTTTAAATCACACACATATTTAAACCACACGCATACTTTAACATACAGTGGTGGTTTAACCTTAACTTGTGCACAGAGCAACACGACCTGCCTGTAACACTCTGATAGCAGTTGGTAGATAACGATTGCACTCACAGCTAAACAATGGCGCCAGGACGGAATTTACTGTCCGTTTTCTTCCTTTGTTTCCTTTTCAGAAATTCATACCAGCTGATTGGCCAGGTGAGTGAATGAATACGGTTTTGGTTCGCTTTTAGTAATATTCCAGCAATATCACGGCGGGGTACACCACAAATGGGCTTCACACATTGTATCCATGTGGGAATCGAACCCGGGTCTTCGGCGTGACGAGCAAACGCCAGGTGAGATGTTCATAATGATTTTTCCTGAAAATAGCATAAATTACATAGGACTTGATCTTTTAAAACAAAACTGCTATGCATAAACATAAATCGGTTATCTCTGTAAGATTACGTAACGAAAGCAACCTATTTATATGGCTGTGTGAGACAGAACCAAAGGCACTGTTGGGATACATTTCAATGTAAAGTCAACGCTACATACTCATTGTGTGTGAAATAGTATTGGATATGTATGAATCACCGAATCTCAGATGAAATATCCCATTAAGCACATGCTGCTGGTTTACAATACAGCTCAGTGTGAGATATTAGAATGTGGCAACAGTATTTGAAATACCGTCTAATTTACTGACGGCCGGTCAGTTTTTAAAGTTGCACGTCCAGATGGCACCGCATCATTGTATTCCCACATACCCTAAGCATTCGAGTTTTCGGTTAATGTTCGAGGTAAATTAACTTTAAACGTTTAACACTATATCCAAGTTTCTGTCTTCATTTGCTATTGGACACATGCTCAAAATTACGTGCTGAAGTTCATCAGGATGAGACCAAAATACCATCTTATGGATTGGAGTTTTCAAAACGTCTTGGAATTGCTGAATATAAATTCAAAATGTTGAAGTTACCTATTTCAAAATTTTAATTTGTGGGGAAATAACATGAACAGTACTTTTCTTTTCTCTACATATTTGTCGGTGAGTGACTGAGCGATTAAGGTTTTAAACCGCTTTTAGCAATATTTCAGCTATATCACGTCGGGTGACACCAGAAATGGGCTTCACATAGTACCCATATGGGGAATCGAACACGGATCTTCGGTGTGGTGAGCGAACACTTCAACCCTACGTTACCCCAACGTCGCCTCTATCATTTGGTAATTTGTATTCGTTAGTGTTTGAAATTCTGAACTGAAAACATTTGCTCTGGTCTGGTAACCAAGATGCCGGTTCGTTCTGAAATTTGAGGGAATTATATGTTCAGGCATTTTGGATAAAAGTTTGCCAGTCATGCACTTTTTGGGTAATGTTTTGAAACACGAATGACTAACATGGCGTATGAAATGTATTTCTCGATGATATGGAAACATTGAGATTTTCAAACATTGACTCAATGGGCTGTTTACTTTTGCAGATGACCATTGACATGGACTGCGACCCATCTGTAAGTAAACGCATGGACGTGTGTCCTGATGGTTTCTGCTGCGTCCGTGACGAGTTCCTCCCTCCTACGTGTACTGCAAGAAGATGGGTCTTCAAAACGAATCATGTACGATGAGGGTGACCGAGTCCGCCTGTCCGTGCACCTCTGGCATGTACTGTCATCCCAACATCGAGAGTGCCACCTTCCACTCGCTGTATGGGAAATGCCGCCTCAACGCTACAGCACATCCCAGTATTACTGGATGAATTGACAGCGTCAGTACTTGGGTATACATGATATGAGATGATTAAAAAATCATAAAATTATTTGCCTTTCTTCTAACTGAATACAACTGACCCGTGAAGATCCGGATCAGAGCTGGTCTTCAGCAACCCATGCTTGTGTGAAGAGGCAACTGACGGGATGTGTTGGTCAGGCTAGCTATTCTCGAAACGTTCATAGCTCTAAGAATTCTTAACTTTGATCGTAGTCAATATGTTAAGAATGGGCTTAAGATGTTCGTAGGGCTACGAACGTTTCGAGAATAGTTAGCCAGGCTAGCTAACACATTCTTCACACATTGGCTACGATAAAAGGTAAGAATTCTTAGGGCTACGAACGTTTCGAGAATAAGGGCCCAGGATTGCTGATTGGTTAGTCATGTCATCGTATCCCGATTGAGTAGAACGATGCCCATGCTGTTAATCATTAGGTTATCGGGTCCAGACTCGTTTATATACGGACAGCAGCCATATAGCTGTAATATTGCTGAGTACGGCGTTAAACAACAAACAAACCAAACTAATCCAAAATAGTCCAAAGGCCACGTTGTCTGTTAGAGTGTAGGGGCGGTGGGTTAGCGTAGTGGTTAAAGCGTTCGCTCGTCTCGCCGAAGACCCGGGTTCGATTCCCCACATGGGTACGATGTGTGAAGCCCATTTCTGGTGTCCCCCCGCCGTGATATTGCTGGAATATTGCTAAAAGAGGCGTAAAACCATACTCACTCACTCACTATTAGAGTGAATGTTCAAAGATCAGAAGGTCGGTTGTTCAGTCCTACCCCTTGGTATAAGCCCTGCTTCACAAAACCTCACTAAATCTATCATATTTCGAAGCAAAAGGGAATATTCTTTGGCATCTGAAATTAATATGTTTCAAATTGCCGCAAGATTAAAAATCACTAAAAAGTTATCGGTTTTCTTTTTTCTCCTAAAATTCAGTATAAATCTTTGGCAAATGAGTACAATCTCCTGTTTCAATCAAAGTGAGTCGAGTGAGTATGTTTTTAGCAATATTACAGCAATATCACGACAAGAACATTTAAAAACGGGCTCCACAGATTGTACCCATGTGTGTAATCGAGCCATGGTGTTCGACGTTCGCGAACGCTTTAAATACTACGCTTAAAAGGCTACCCCACCGCCCTACATGTCTTTCCACACATTGCCCAAATGATATTTCACCAAAAAACAGACTATTTGAAAATCTACTTAGCTTGAAGGAAATACAGTGATAATTACAATGTGTTTGCCATTGTTTACAATCGTTTTCCTAACATTATTTACAACTTGCAAGAAATACTCCAGCCGGATAACTCATCATGATAATGATCAACAAGCCAATTTCAAGGGCCATCACGGCCAAGCTCAACTTGTGATAAATATCCACACGTTTCCAAACAGAGCCACAGCTTCATCATTTTCTTCATAATCCTAATAGGGACGATTAGCTGACCTGCCTGCTTTTTGTCTAAATAGGCCTGTTTCAAACAGGGGAAAATCGAGAATAGCTACAAAACACGAATGCAAAATGGTATCGTTAGAGTTAAGGCCATCTATCACACACTAACTACCGGTTGTTGAAGACGTATAATGCTAAACGGTCTGGTGCCCGTTGCAGTCTGGATCGTGACAATGGAATTACTGCCAAATGTGAAAGTGAGGTATAGTGTCTGTGTTATTAGGACAGTCATTAACTATTGGATGGCAGTTTACAGACAAACAAATTGGCTTTTAGATGACATAACTACAAACTGTTTCCAATCTGCATTTGATCACTACCCATGCTTAGTCTCTGTGAGTATATCATGTTTTGATCAATACGACTCACAGTGCTGGACTGTTTGTAAATAAAATCATATGTAGACATGCATGAGCACCATATGTTTGGTTTGGTTTGTGTGTTGTTTTAACGCTGCGCTCACCCATATTCCGGCTGTATGGCGGCAGTCAGTAAATAATTGAGTCTGGACTATAGCCAACATATTGTATTGGTGAGGTGAGGTGAGGTGAGGTGAGGAGAAGTGAAATTGGGTTTAACGTCGTGCTTGAGAATATTTCGCTCATATGACGACGTGCATGTGTGTGTATGTGTATGTGCGGCTGCTTGTACTAGCCCAGACGTAAGCTGGTTTTATAGTGCTAGCCCACTGAGATACTATGCCGCAGTGAAGCATGAATACCCCACTCAGACACATTATACTGACTCCGAGGCGACCAGTCCTTGTTGTACCCATTAATGCCGAGCGCCAGGCAGGGACCAACAAGTACCATATTTTAACGTATTTTGGTATGACGCGGTCGGGGATCGAACCCGCGACCTTCCGCTCTCCGGGTGGACGCATGAGTATTGGAAACCGATGACATGTATCAAACTAGTCAGCGAACCTGGCCATCCCAGCCCGTTAGTTGCCTCTTACGACAAGCATGGGTTGTTCAAGGCCAACTCTAATTCGGATCTTCACGGGTTGAAAGCCATTTAAAACGGTAGATACTTCGGTAGTCTTTAAGGGAATCTGTACATTTTACGTTTAAGTGTCGAAATTGATGTCGGATCAAATTCTTTGATGCTATTAGTCACGGGGTTTCAATTTTAAACTTATTCAATGGACACAACTCCCATGATTCTGGTTCTGAATCCCGGTTCGACGGATGATATATTTGTAAGTTTATCACCACCATGATCCTGCGTTTGGACCAAAGTGGCCTGCATTACTTTGGGTGTATTCTCATTCATGAAACAGACACTCCGCGTTTCAACTGAAATACTGTTCAAAGCATCTTGAAGCCATCTCACACACTCACTCTTTCGAGTAGCTGGCCCTGTATGAGATCGTCATATTATGTGTTGACATTTGTCTCTTCCCGTGTATGCCTTTGTACTTGGGACTGTGCTGCTTCGTTGACTGCTCAAGAAAACAACTGTTATCTGGATTTCAAAAAGGCTTCACGCATTGTATCCATGTGTGGAATCGAACCGAGGTTTTCGGCGTCACGAGCGAACGCTGTAACCACAAGGCTACCCAACCGCCCCTCAAGACAACCATGATCATTTAGTTGGTAAGTGAAAGAAAGTTTCATGGTGTTTTATGATTTATATTATCACATTTTCACAATGACAGTATTACACATAGAAAAGTTGGTGTGTGTCTTTCGGCTGAAGGATTGGTTTTTGAATGATGGAATAAATAATGAATAGTTCTTCAAATGGTTAATTTTTATTACGTGTACCACAACAGCTTGGGTTTTTGTTCACAGTATTAATCACTTTTAGTGTCTGGTTTCAGTTCATCATATTAATCACTTCAGCGTATCTCTAAGTTCTGGTGGGCACTGTTAAAGCCCATTTCTGGTGTCCCCGCCCTAGATATTTCTGGAATATTGCTAAAAGCGGCGTAAAACTAAACTCAGTCAGTCAGTCTAAGTTCTGGTTTATACAACAAACATACAGCAAATTGATTGCGATAGTGCTTGTATCTCCTAATCGCGTTATCCGTGTGTGAAATGAATGGATTCGATATGATCTTTCTTGTCAAAACACAGCGTCATATGGACAATTACACCATTATTCGTCGTAATGTACAAGCCAGTACCCTCTGCTATAACAACCGGCTGTGGCGTAACACGCTGATAACAGATAAGGACTGACCACAATGGCAGCCTACTGGAATTTCTTGATCGTTTTCACCTTCTGTGTCTTGATCAGATGTTCATACCAGGTGAGTTGTTTGTACAGGAGATGATTGGTTAACATGAATGGAAATTACATGAAGGCTGGTCAAAGCACTATTAAAGCGGTTATCTCTACATTATTCATAGGTCAGTCACAGAATTCAAAAGCACAATGGCTGTTCAAGATGAGGTCGTGAGGTGAAATTGAATTGAATGTTGCGTACAAGATTATTGTACTTGTATAGCAACGTACAACGCGTGTGTGTTCTTGTACCAGCAAGGTCCAATTCTAATGCCGGTTTTGTAGTGCTAACCCTATGAGTTACACGGTGTTTTGAGAGGGTGTACGGGACTGTAAGGCTCTTGTGTGACGAATTTATTACCCTTAAGATCTCTTTGTTTAACTTATCTTTAAAAAAAAGCATTCAATCTAGGGCAGAATGATACGCAAATGTTTCGCCATGATTTATCATGTCATAAAGGGAGATAACTCGGGATGGCTTAGTTTATGATAAATATGATCGAATTTGAGGTTTAGTTAAACGACAAGTGAAATACAGAAACATTTTATTTTTTATATACTTTTATTGACACAAACAAATGAGAAATTATGGCAACAATTTTATTACTCTGCTTAAGCTCATAAATTGACATAATTGTATACGCCAACTCTAACATTTCGAAGCGATCAGCCGTTTGGCAACCACTTTCCATCTGAGGTCAAGGTCATTTGTACACTCTGTGTAAGGTGTCACGTGACAGATTTGACGGGGTGTACGGTTCGTACACCCAGGTAAATTCGCCTACATGGTTTCGTATGCTTAAGCCATTGACCAATCAGAATTCGACAACTTTATCTTGAGGGTAATAAACTGAGATACCAATAACCCACACAGACCACAAACCCTGAACCGCAGTTTACCCATGCTTGTCGTAAGAGACGACTAACGGGATTGGGTGGTCAGGCAAATTGTAGCGCAAATAGGGTTGCGCATCAAAGAGAAAATGACCAGTCTTCCCATATGCGAGCGAAGCAACGTGCTTCCCTCCCTTCGGTTCGAAAAATATTTTTAATGTCAAAATAAAATATCGCCATCATCAAAGGTAGACACCCATTTCCTCACAGAGTTGTGCTCTCAGATTTCCAACCTCATATTTAATAATTACTCACGTACAATATATTTAATTCAACATTTTAAGCGCCACTCGTGGCATGTCAAATCGTTCTTCGCCTCCATTACCCCTGCCAGCTTCCGGTTCAACGGAGTGAAGGAACAGGGGAGTTAACTTTAAATATGCTTTCATTTACCCGTTACGCCAGAAGTGTTTCTGTAGAATAAATGTTACGAAAATTCTAACAATAACGACGACAGATAAGAAAAACAATCCCCAACAGTTTAACGGTAAAATTATACAATATGATATTTGTGTTTAATTTCTGCTTATTCTTGTTCCTTTATTAAATATGAGTTTGGAGATCTGAGAGCACAACTCTGTGAGGAAATGGGTGTCTACCTTTGATGATGGCGATATTTTATTTTGATATTAAAAATATATTTCGAACCGAATCGAGGGAAGCACGTTGCCAACCTTTGCTGGCTTCGCTCGCATATGGGAAGACTGGTAATTTTCTCTTTGTTGCGCAACCCTATTTGAGCTACAATTTGCCTGTCCTGACACAAGGGTCACATCGAGTACCATATTTAACATCTTGTGATATGGCTCGGGCAGGGATCGAACAACGGGCAGACGCTCTACCCACTAGACAGGGGCTGTCCTGGTCAAGGTGAAACTGTAAATATCAAACAATCCAACTAAATGTCAGTCCCCCATGTCCTATTAAACTGAATTGTTTGTGTTGGCTAAGAGTTGAGTTTGGAAACACGAATGAGTGAGTTTAGTTTTACGCCGCTTATAGCAATATTCCAGCAATATCAAGGCGGGGGACACCAGAAATGGGCTTCACACATTGTACCCATATGAAGAATCGAACCCGTGTCTTCGGCGTGACGAGCGAACGAATTAACCACTAGGCTACCCCATCGCCCTTTGAAAACACGAACGGACCTCCGCAGCTATATATACTATCTGTATGGAGAAGTTACATTTTAACCATTTAAGATGGACAAAGAATTTGTATTGTTGTAGGTTGACTGTAACCCCAAATGTCCAGTTGGCTACTGCTGTGTCCACGACGTGTTCCCCGAGGACATCATCTATTGCAAGAAGATGGGTGCCCAAAACGCCGACTGTGCAACGACAGCGACCGAGTCCATCTGTCCGTGTTCCAGCGGCATGTACTGTCATCCCAACATCGACGCCCCCACCTTTCACTCCATGTATGGGAAATGTCGCCCCAAAACTGGATCACCTGTCGTTGGCTGATTGATGTGTCTTAAATATAAGTAATTGTTGAAATTTTAAAAAAATATAAGTTTTATTTCAAACCTGTGTCGCTATCATCATTGACACCTTTGGTAGATTACTCTGGTAGATTTTCAGATGGATTATATTAACAAGACATACTCTAATATAAGTGAGTGAGTGAGTTAATATTTAACGTCACATCGGCAATATCGCAGCCATATCGTGACTACTCTAATATAAAGTAACATATCTAAATATACTCATGCCAATAATGGTTGTCACCCCCTTTAATTTTTTTAATTGGAGAGGGGCTGCGGGGTGAGGGTGTGTGGGGGTTGGGTGGGGGAGGGGTGACAACCATTATTGGCATGAGTATATATTAAGACAAGTGAAATCTGTCTACATATTCATTCCAGCCTTTCGGATGCTGATGTAGCCCACGATGTGTTCAGAGGATGGTGAGGGCGGTGGGGGTAGCCTTGTGGTTAAAGCGTTCGCTCGTCACGCCGAAGACCGGGTTCGATTCCCCAGCGGCGTAAAACTAAACACACTCACTCACAGGATGGTGACTGTTTAGTTATGGTCCATTACACAGACAAACGCAAGAAGCGTCGTAAAATCCCTTGGCTGTGTAGCCAGGTTGGTTACACAAAAATAAATAATTTCTCACCTCTGTGGTGACGTTATTTTTATTCTTAAAAGTAATTTATACCTCAACAGCTATGTGTGCTGGTCTAAAAGAAACAATTTTCATCCGCTTGAAAATATCTGTGGTCACAATGGCATCGTGTTTACTGACTGAGTTTGGTTTTACGCCGCTTTTAGCAATATTCCAGCAACATCACGGCGGGGGACACCAGAAATGGGCTTCACACATTGTGCCCATGTGGGGATTCGAACCCGGGTCTTCGGCGTGACGAGCCAACGCTTTAACCATTAGGCTACCCCACCGCCCCTGGCATCGTGTTTATGACGACATGGCTAACTATAGGTCAGTTTTAATTACTGCATGTATGACACTTAATAACACACAAATATCAACGACAATATCATTCAGTCAGATCTGCCAAAAACTTAAGTCTGCACGGGAGGATGCTTGTTAAACGACCGATTCTGATTTGGTGTAGGGCAACCTATACGTGTGTTTCATTGAGTATGATACAGCCTTCCAATATATTCGATACAACAGCAACAAACGTCTCTCAACATAATCATTGAGAAAATATTTAATCATAATCGGAAAATAATAAGTGCACACTAAATGTATAGCAGACGCTAAACACAAATATTAAAATATATATGAAATATATTTAATAAGTGAACAATGATGGCAATGGGATGTCATATGAAGGTTTGTGACCCTATTCTCGATACTTATATATGATTTTCATGATCCCTTTGGGATATTCATATATTTTACATTATATCGGGAAAGTTTAAATTGTTTTCAAGATTACGAAATATTTGTTTCTGTGTTATAAAAAAGCAAGACTTTAAATTTGGACAGGACATCAAGATGTGTTCGATACTTTTGACACCTTTGAACAACAGAAATAACATGTAACGGCTGGTATAATCACATCCCTGTCGTCGTTTTTGAAAGTTCTTAATGACATTCCAGAGCATTAAGGAATTTCTGTTCATTTGCAGAACAACACAACATACTGGATAAAAGCGTATGATTAAAAAACCTGCATTTGTAAAGAACCCGGCGTTTGTTAATTAAACCTCATCCGAAATATACCAATCGATGTATATAATTTTACTATGATTCACATGTGCAGCCATCTCTTGCCCTGTAAAACTTGCATCCTAATAGCATTTCGATCAAAAGACAGAATCCTTAAAAGGGTTATTGAAATACTTTCTTTTGCTTTTTACCGGAAGGAAACCCGCGTAATGGAAACTGAAAGGTGCTTTGTTCTGAATCAAATTTAGTTTTCTTATGTTTTAAGTTAGTTGCCATGGTGATAGACAACATCGGACAAGAAAAGTCAAGTTCATCTTATTAACGATCAAACGCCTCCAAAGTATTCAAGGGCCATCTGTATCTCACTCATTGTGTAATGGACCTGTTTTACTCCGTCACATGGGTACTATATGTGAAGCCCATTTCGTGTGCGGTGATGTTACTGGAATATTGCTTAAAGCGGCGTTAAACCACTAACTGCATCACTGATTGTTAAAGGGACAAGGCTTACCCAATGAGCTGAGGGCCGTCGGCAATACACCTGTGATAACATGTTTATTTCTCTAATCATATAATTCAGTACAATGCAAACTGGTGGCTGAAAGCATGAGCACATATCTTCAACATCTCCAATACGACAGCACGCAATCCACTAGACCACCCAATCACCAGTACGACAAGCATGAAGTACTTGGGGCTACTCCTGTTATAAGTCAAATGAAGATGAGTGAGTGAGTGAGTTTAGTATTACACCGCACTCAGCAATATTCTAGCTATATGGCAGCGATCTGTAAATAATCGAGCCTGGACCAGACAATCCAGTGATCAACAGCATGAGTATCGATCTACGCAATTGGGATACGATTACATGTGCCAGCCAAGTCAGCGAGCATGACCACTCGATCCCGTTAGTCGCCTTTTACGACAAGCATGGGTTGCCGAAGATCAATTCTAAAGGATCTTCTCGGGTCCATATGAAGATGAAAACCCCTGACACCGCTGTATACACGTCGTACTTTGACATTTTAAGAGTGAGTGAGTGAGTGAGTGAGTATGGTTTTACGTCGCTTTTTAGCAATATTCCAGCAATATCACGGCGGGGGACACCAGAAATGGGCTTCACACATTGTACCCATGTGGGGAATCGAACCCGGGTCTTCGGCGTGACGAGCGAACGCTTTAACCACTAGGCTACCCCACCGCCCAACATTTTAAGAAGCTACTCCCATACAGTCAATGGTATGTCACAAACAGGAAATTGTATTTACTATAGGACTTTGCGAACAATCAGTGCTTCCCCCGAGGGATATTTCCCCGTGTTGGCTTTCATGAAATTTAGAAAAACAAGGACGTGAATTTTTTTTTCTTCACCTTGTCAATGGAACTGCAAGTTGTTGTTTTCCTTTTCACATCATGTAGTTGTACGTCAGTGTTGTATGTTGTACGTGTATGAGGTGAAGTATGCTACCTGATTCCGTATTAATCACACACGACACACAACAACACTTGTTATGGCTGGTTGCATCCGTGATTAGCAGTGTTTTCAGACAATGTTGTTGCTGTGCACTATTATTATTATTATTATAGGATATTTATATAGCGCACTATTATTATTATTATTATAGGATATTTATATAGCGCACATATCCACGCACTAGTGCATGCTCAAGGCGCTGGTATTTTTTCCCTTGATCATTGGATGTCAATATCAACTGCACATCGTATTAGCAATCTCAACTCCCTGGGGAGTATACAACTCTTGCTGCCACTAGGCGCACCGAGTTATTGTGGCTTTCTCATCCTAACGAGGTACCCATTCACAGCTGGGTGGACTGGGACACATAGTCACAGCACTTTGTCCAACTTCACTACACGTTGCTGTACCCGCAACTAGGTGTTTGCATGTATTCATGTGGCCACCATCTGGACATATACCAACGGATTCGTGGGGTCTTTTAAGTGCACAGGGTTGTGTACTGTACACTAGGGGTTGTGACAACACGGAAAGAGTCTGCACACAAAGTTGACTCCAAGGTAATTACACCCGGTCACAGGTGGGCTCGATCCCGGCACCTCAACCTCGCTGGATCAGTAGCCTGGCGCCTTAGCCAGCTCGCCCTAACACAACGGTAATCCCTTATGGTAGGGGAGTGGACCAGGACATTCATTGATTAGGGGTGACCACCATGGCCCAATTAATTAATGTACTATTTTTATCTGCATTTTGAGAGGTCTGCGTTTTAGGAGAAAACCACAACGACACGCAGTTGCATGCCATCACTTGCCGATGTGAGCAACATTATACGTGGGTCGATCAAAAAGTACGTAGACTAACTCAATTCTCGATGTCCAATGTTTGAAAAGCTTCCATTTTATTTTGAAGAAATCTTTAGCAAAGTCATATCCAAAGTTTCACATATATGAGTAATGTGGTTAACGAGACATTAGTCATCTCAATACATTATGGTATAATATTTCTAACACATCTGCAGAAAAATGAAAAACGATCTGTCATTTGATACCTCTTGGATAATGGTATGCCCTCAGAATATATCATATAAAACATGTTCAGTATAGTATTGGATAACTTCCCGTCATAATCAACAGTCTAAGATTGGGTTGCTTAATGTATATTTAGTCGAGGGCTGTTTTTTAAGGACACCCCATTTCAATCTTCCTAAAACGTTGTGTCCAGATATTCAAGCTGGTACTGTTTACAATATATTGAGAGCTAACACTTGTGTGACCATTCAGTATTTAGTTTGAACCCTCGGCATCATGTATGAATAAGTGAAACATTAGAATAAGTTATGTCCATATGATTACGTGATCTGAAAGGGGATGGGTAGTGTCTCCAAATCAAGCTCTTTCAGTCAACATGAAGGGGGAGTCACTTTAACAAGAGATTGTAATTTCAAATTGCTTTTTTATGAACTTTAATATCTAAGTGTGATTCCAGGGGACGTCTATCAATCTCAAACACACAAAATATTTCTTGCATATTTTGTTTCCTGAAGTTTTTGATGCATTTATTGTAGATTTTGCGGGTTTTTGTAGGGTACCAAGACAAAAAGTCAAACAAAATGGGGATCGTGAGACTGGAACATAGCAAAATCAAATTGCTTGAGCTTAACAGATAATATGTAGAAAAATAAAACATAAACATAACTGCATTTAATTTGTATCGTTTTCTTGGTGACTCTACATACTTTTTGATCGCCCCTCGTATGCCAAAGTGGTACAATGACACGATGTAACAGCACGCCATCAGTCACTATACAGGTGGCACTATGTGCAGACACCTATTCCACTTTAGATTGTTTACGTAAATGTGGTAGGTTTGGGATAACACTTTCTCAGCAACAGATTGTGGTACTATTTTATTCACAT